AGGTCGATTGCGGTGGAGGGATTGTCTGGATCAACGCCAATGATCCTATCAATGGAAGCTCATTTCGGCCGCATCCTTTGAAGCCTATACCAGTACAAATGCAAACTGCATCATCAAAGTCCGCCATTGGGTACCTGGGTCCTTCTATAAAAACAACAGAAGCTCAGTCAACAGATCTATGTGGTCCATTGGCACAGGCTTGGGTTACTCAACGAGCTGCGCCAATTCATCTGCGGCCCCTGGGATCACCGCCCGGGAAACCGTGTGATGAAGAGGGTAGCGATGCAAAGAATGACATGACGTCGAAATCTCGAGGTTTCATGGCCAGAGAAGAACGAGAAGAACCCTTGAGTTTGACACTGACGACGGAAAGAATTCGCCGCTTGGATCGACATTCGGAACCTTGTAGAAAATAGTGCAACCAGGAAGAGGCACCCACAGGAGGACGATGGAGATAATGACGGCAACTTTGCGTCTCTATGTCGTAACGAACATCAAGATGTATCCTCAAACACGATATCGCTCCCGAGATGGGCAGGTCTTTGCAAGTATACATACCAACATTCTTACAGCGCACTAGATACCGGGGATCCCTCAGCACTGGGCGATTGTATAATAGCTTCTCAAGAATATGCTTATAACAAACTGGTAGAGACAGTTTGTCGTCAACATACGTACACAGGCGTGTCTCACCTGACAAATTTCTGATAACCATTCGTATGCTACTCCAGCTCGCGGGATGCCGACTCAATGCCAGAACGGATCCTGAGGGTCAGTTTATGCCGTTGCTTAGGTACCGTGGTACACATGCTCACGCCCACGCCCACGCCAACAAACACCGCTTTTGGAACAGAACTGAACTGAAGGCAAAAGCAATACCATGAGCGGCAACCGAGCTCGAGGCGTTGGATGCAAGCGGCCAAAAGCCACGAACTGGAGGTTCTACGACGTTCTTGGCACAAGGGTCGAGGTCGCCACAGCCGCGGACCAACAGCTTGGACCAAAGCTCTGGGTCGGAACGGCATTGAGCATGAGGAATGAGCATGGAGCACAGCCATTGGCCATTGGGCAAGCTTGGTGCCGCAGACTAGTGCGAGGATGGGGAGCAGGGGCTGTGGGACAGGTAATAGCGTATCGCATAGCAGGTGAGTGTGCGCACTATCAGTCGGTACCTCGAGCCCGCATGGAGCCCTAACAAGAGTCCACGACAAAAAATTGCGGAATTAAGCGAAAAGGCGGGCCACAGCTCGAGGCCAACTGGACCTTGCAGCAGGTTAATGGCGTACCGCGGACGGCGGGTGGGAAGGAAAAAAAAAGGGAAAAGGCTTGTGGCCACTGAGGCGCCTGCAGCACACACACAAACACAGTGTTGAGAGCTGGCTTGCGACCAGACAGCAGACGCGCAGTGCTGTTGCTTGAGCAGCCCGCCCAGCGTCCAGGGCGGCAAGGGAAGGACTGTGACCACGGCGACGAACGACGTCCCAGGCCCCAGGACCACACGCACACGGAACCACGCACATCGTGCAGTTTTCTTCCTACTACCATCACCACACCAGTCCACAGCTGCTGACTGACTCTTTTGCTGGTGCCTCACACCCACCGTCAACCCCCCCAGACACCAGACTTTTGCGCGCTTATTCCTCTCCGAGGTCATGCTCTCTTAAGCACCTCCCCCTTCCTCCACAAGCAGCACCCGACCGCCGACACAGACAATTGCAACGTAGCCGACTCGCCCAAGGCCATCAAGATGTCCCAGGTCGCTTCTCAGGTATGAACCATGGTCTTTGTTTCATCATCGCCACAATCTGCTCGACTGAGGCCTCGCCGGCAGCTCGTCGACATATGGGACCCGACGCACCATCATCATCACGTCGTCGTCGTCGTCGTCGTCGGCCTCTTGTTGCCAGCTTTCGTCTTATCCCCATACACAACTCTCCCTGATCAGATGCCCTTGAGAAGACGCGTTGCTGGACACCTCCATCTCGGCCATGCCAGCCGTTGATTTTTTTTCTCTTCTATTACTCCGTACCTCGGCCGTGAACTTTGACGTCGCGTCGCCCTGGCCTTTCTTTGTTGAAGTCAATGCTAACTCTCCGTTTGTCTTGTTGCTCTACAGAACCGTTTCGCCTTCCTTGGTATGAACCCGTCCGGCCCTCACCCTCGATCAACTCGATAATATCTCTTCACCGGCTATCTTTCATACCGCCGAGATCACTTTTGTCTTATGCGCCCAGTTGACACCAGGCTGACCACATATCGCATTTGTAGGCAACGACGACTCTGGCGAGGACAAGCCCATTGTCCCCGTCAAGACCGTCGACAAGGCCCCGGCCCGTACCACCAAGCGCAACACGGAGCCCCAGGCTCCTGCTGCTCCCACTCGCGGCACTGGCAACCGCCGCGGAGGTCCCCGTGGAAACGAGGGTGGTAAGTTGCATCCGCTACGGCCGCGTGTTTATTTAGCAACTGCAGCATCGTTGAGCGTGACAAGGCTAATCAAGCTGTCGTATAGCTTTCCGTGACCGTGGTGCCGGCAGCGATAGAAACCACGCCCGATCCACTGATGAGGCCCCTAGAGATGGTCCCCGTGGTGGCTATGGAGCTCGTGTCCGTGGGGGTAAGTGATGCAGTTTGAAATTTACCATTGACCCTGGTGGACCGTCCTGGACCCTTTGGGCAAATCTACCTGCGTGGAAAATGGTGTGCTGATGTTTCAATCGCCCTAGGCCGCGGCTCGCGTCGCCCTCGTGACAACGATGACCGCCATACCTCCCGCACCGGCGTCCACCCGTATGTCTTTTGCTCCATCTACTTGATGCTGCTGCCCATGTAAAGGAAGCTAACATTGGCTGTTCTAGTGGCTCCGAGAAGCAGGCTGCCCAGTCTTGGGGTGCCAATGAAGGCGATGCCGAACTGAAGGATGAGCAGGCTGGTGAAGCCATTGCCCAGTCTGAGAAGAAGGAGGCACTCACCGAGGACGCCGCTGGCGAAGAGGCCGCCGAGCCCGAGGATAAAAGTGTTTCCTACGCCACCTACCTCGCCCAACAGGCCGAGAAGAAGCTCAACATTGACACCGTCTTCAAGGTCCGCGAGGCTAATGAGGGTAGCAAGCCCGACAAGAAATGGGCCGGCGCCAAGGCCCTCGAGAAGAACGATGACGAAGACTTCATCTCCGGTAGCCACGGCAAGAAGCAGCGTGAGCGTGAGCGCAAGGTCAAGCAGACCATCGACTTCGATCCTCGCTTCGTTGAGCCTGAACGCACCCGTGGTGGCGGCCGCGGAGGCCGTGGTGGACGTGGTGGACGCGGTGGTGAGCGCGGCGGCGACCGTGGACGCGGAGGCAACTTCCGTGGCGGACGTGGTGCTGCTGCTTCTGCTGCTCCCATCAACACTAAGGATGAGTCTGCCTTCCCCAGCCTCGGCGGCAAATAAGCGCCTCGTTACTGGCGTATAGTGGCTCCCTGGACTTTGGTATTTTTGACATAGTACATGTGTTCAGATACCCCCCCACTATGGCTTTTTGTATGTCTTTCTTTCAAGACGTACCTAATTTTGCAAGGGAGCCCTCCAGAGTATCTTGCGCATGGTAATCCCCGAGGGGGAATCCTTGGAAAAGATGCTCCTTAACCCCACCCCAAAATGGTAAATGTGTGTATGGACAGTTAGCTGGAAAGAAGGAGAGGAACGAAGGAAGGAAGAAAGAGGGACAGATGTTGCCACTAGACAACATTAAACCAATTATGGGAACAAAGTTATGAGAAAAAACTTGACCTTTGGTGCTTGGTGGGGGGTTTTGTTTGAAATCCTCTCATGGGGTTGTCTTTTTATTTTAAAGGACTGGCGGACCGGAGCAAAAAAATTATAACCCTGTTTACAAACACTTGGTCGGAATGGTCTGATTTCTCTTGGCTGGTAACGGTAACCCGCTGCGCGAATCTTTGTCTACTTTGGACCAGTTCCTTTTTCCTCTGTTTTCTTTTTGCTCTTTGCTGCTTAACTTAGGCTTAACTGAGTGGTTTTCTTTTTTACACGGGGTTCTTGCTTTGACTGTGGCTTGTGATGCTGCCTCGTGATCATGTGAATTTGGGACTGGACGCAATCCTCGATCACTGTGTATATACATATATATGCGTGCAAGTCTGGTGAGGGCTTTACGAAAGATCCATCCATAGGTGAACCCTGGTATGTAGCGTGTGATTCAAAATTGTCGGCGGGTGTGGAGGCGTGGCACATCTCGGGCGTGTGAACACCAACGGTAAGGACTGCGATGATCATCTGCCCAGTATCGAAGCCGTCGTGGGGGCTCGCGGCCATAGACGGAATCCGCATGGTCCACAGAGTCTCGGGCAATGCCTGACAACAAAGGAAGTACCCTGCTTGATACATACTCAAGGCACGACAACCAACAAATACTGTCATGTCTGCACTAATGTCGCAAGGCATGCATAATTCCCACAGCTTCAACTACTCTGCCATACCATACAGCTGCACCTTCTACAACCATTGAGTGCTAATTCCATGTCCAATCACGCTCTTCGTATTCTCTTGCAACCTCAACCCTCTTTTCCTAGGGTATCATGTATGCTTTTTTACACAGCAACTTGCTCCGCTACAGACCAAAAAGTATAGACATGTATTTCCGTCCCGTATTCCTACAATGCTGTCCTCACGAAACTTTACTAGTTTTTAAAAAATAGAATGAATTTCGCCGTTAAAAGGAAAAAAAAAAACCCGTTAACCCCTTGGAATGCAATGCTAATGCAAAAATATTTTGCAGACATTTGTTTTCGTCATTACCGAAACGACCGAAATGACTTGTTCGCCAGAGGAGATAGAGATGATCCAATCCCCAATGCATTATCTCGTGTTCTACGTCCCGCCATGTTGGGAGTGTTTGCACAAAAGCCGCAGATGTATACTGTCGGCATGGTACGGCGGGTGATGTTGATGCAATTTCCATGAAGCCACATTTCGCATGATTCGCTAATAGGGGCTTTATGTCAGACTACCAGATTGGAAGGTGAACCTGCGGGTGAAGGAGAGACATACCATTGAACTAAAAAGCCGTCGGTCTCGTCTGCCTTGCTATTGTTGCATACACATCGAAGGTTGTAACTATCCGGACCGTAGCTTGATTCGGTCAGACTAGTGGGCGAAATGATTCCTCCAGGAAAGTTACGAATAATGGTATTCAATGACCGTTGTGATGATATTGCGCTCCCGAGCCGAAGAGAGCGCTTTTGTCGATCCTCAACAACCTTTCGCAGTTCGCTAGTCGCATCACCGTACTTGCCTGGTTTCTCATTGATGACCGTTTCCGCTTCACTCTCCCCCTCGTTGGCCGAGTTGCTGTTACTTCTGTCGCTGGCGCTTCGCCTTGACGAGAAGATTGAGCCTACCGGCTTACGGGGATCAGGAAGGGCAAAGGACGCTTTAAAGGAGTTATTGCGACTGGGAATGATGATAGGCTCGTCATCTGTATCTGAATCATCTTCGGCCGACGACCAACTTCGATGTGTTGACAAGTCCTGAGAACTTTGGCTTCGCGTCATTGCTGTGCCGCCGCGGCCTAGCAATGTCTCGACTGTCGCTCGCCCGTGGGCATTAATGGACAATCGGACAGACCTGTGCTGTCGAGCTTGTGGGGACATCTCTGGGATAGATGCAAGACTCGATAGCCGCTGCTGTGTCTTGAGTGGCGATATTCTCCCGGGCAGGCGGCCAGTCGACTTGCTACCTCTAAGCCCTGGGTCAGGGGCTGCTGCCCTTGCCGCAGGAGCCAACATTGGAAGTGAACCTCTCCTAACCGTTTTCCTCCCTCGATTTTCACTCATACTTCGCCCAAGCCCAGGTCTGCCCAATGATTTTACCGGAGAGCTTGCAGTTGCTCGTTCAGGGTCTTTGGTGCTATTCTTTCTGTCTCTCACGCTGCCGGATCGGCGTCCCTCGCCAACTGGTGTCTTCCTGGATTGAATTGCTGCCTCTGCAGTCCCGGATTGTACCGTCGTCCCAAAGCTAGCGGCTATGGGTGCACTTTGCGGGCGACTGAACAGAAGACCAGGGTCAACCGCATCTCCAGCACTAATCATGTTAAACGGATCCTCCAACACGGGGGCAAACGATGCCAATAATGATGAGTCGTGCGCACCCGTGCATACGATATCGGATGCCGTTGGCTTAGGAGCTAACGGTCTCTGCTCCTTAGTAGGCTGAACATTCTCTTGATTTGAAGACGGCGGCGCGTTTGGATCCTGAAAAAGCTGAATCTCGCTATTCCAATCAAATGAGCCCGTATGGCGGTGAGAGGAGGGTGTAGGCGGTTGGAACATATTTGTCCCTGCCGCGGTGAAGTCTAAGTCCATATTCATTGACATGGTCGGGTCCCAAAAGTTGGAATGTGTTGCGGCTGGCGCAGACATTGGATAACCGAACATATCGGTGGCACTACTCATTAATGCCGCCATTTCCTGGTGTGAAAGATCGTGGAAGTCCGAGCGACCGAAGCTTTGGTCATTTTGCATGTTGAGCCCAGGAGCGAGCCAACGCTCTCCCTTCCGTGCCGTAGGTGGCGGCGATATGACCTGTGTTGGCTCTTCGGCGGTGGTACACCGTCGAGCTTTCTTAGGGGATGAAGTTGGGGTCTCAGACAGCTTGGGGTTTAGCGGAGACTTAAAACCTGCCGTCGAAGAAGCTGTATCGGTTGTGGGTGGGTTCGGGGAGGACGGCAATCGGTGGGCAGGAGCAACTGGAGGCAAGGTGGCGTTTGGATTTGGGGAGAAGTGATTTGTATGTGCTGCGATTTCGATGGCCAACCCCTCAGCAGACAGCAAGCGCTTATGGCTCGCCGAAGAGCTTACGGGTGCGATAGGAATCAAGTCTGGAAAAGGGCCTTGGGTTCCTCGCAGATTGCCTGGAGTTGCGTTGAAGACGGAATATTCTTCGGCAAACCGAGGAGTTAACCCGCCGGCCTCGACAAAGGAGCCTTGATAGTGTTTTGGCGTTTCGAAAACGGGACTGGGAAATACGGCAGACGTCGGTGTTTGCTTCGGCGTGGGCGGCTGAGCGTTTGGTTCTCCAAAGCTACTGCAAGTCGTTATCAGGTCAGCTCAATGTGATCGTCAATGAATAGTCGGTGGAAAGTGGGGAGCGCTCCATGAGTGCACGTACCTGGCGGCCGGATGATCCTCGCTCATAGCAAACCGTGCGATTGCAGTATTGTTACAGTCCAAGAATATTCATCCCAGGTGCGAATGGCATGGAAGAGCTGACGCTGGACTACAAGCAGGGCATGTGCCAGGTATTTTCAACTATCCAATGACAATGGAGTAGCGTAGCAGGCCAATATGTAGGTTGCGTGCACTTGGATACACAAGGTGACGGGAGAAGCGGCAAAATGTGGCCGATGGTAGATTTTCGAGAGGTTGTGTCGGCTGGCGCGAGGGAAGAGCTCCGAAATAGGTGAAGAATATTAGAGGTATCCGGAATAATAATGAGGATCAATCATGAAAAAAAGACTAGCTAGAATACCATTAGATTTACGAGAGAAGAAATCTGAGAGACGGGCAAAGAGGCTCTCGTCCGAAAAGCACGAATATTACATACAGCAGGAGCCAAGGGAGAGGGGGATATGGAGCTTACCTTTGACCACTAAAAAGTCTTGTCGACAAGGGTGACCCCGCTGCTCGCCTCCTACAAGGGAGAAGACAAGATCGGCAGTTATGTTTGCTGTTACGTAGATGCTTATTAGATTGGTTCAGATGGAAACAGAAACGGACAACACAGGACGTTTAGAAATATGGGTTGTATAATGGATGATAGTTCGAGATCACTACGCCCGAGAGCGACGATACGATGGAAAAGGAAAGAGAGGGTGAGAGACAAGAGTACAAGGAACCAGATTGCTGGCATCGACTGGGGAATGGCAAGCTAGCCGCACAGCAGCATATCATCGGTTGGCGATGATGGATTGCTGGCGGTACCAGGGCGTCTGCGTCTAGGCAGGAAACCGCAATTCCAGGTCGATGCTCAATTCGGACAAATTTTTGGCGAGGGACAACGAGCAGGCAACCAGTGGATCACCTGCGAGAGAGAAGGGCGGAACAGGGGGGGTATCAGGACGGCCTGAGTTGGATTGGATTGACCCTGCTTGACTGGATGTGACTGGCGTTTAGAGCCTCTGGCGGGTCATTGCATCAGCTAACAAGAACTCCCTGTGTTCAATGTTGATGAGCAATCATTCGTAACAGTAAGATGGCTTTTCTCACAATATGCCACGAGTCGGTGCTGGCTGTAACGGCCGTTCGTGTATGGGCCATATCAGTCAATGACACAGCCCCAACTATTGTGTTGCGTACCTGGCGTTAAACTTTTGCGTGCCTGGCCCGAGGACAGGCCCTCGCAGTTCAACTTGTGGCCAAAGTGATTCGTGATTTAAGAACATGTCGTTCCTGAGCCTGAGCTTGAGCCAAGCGGAGACGAAATTGTGGGTTCTGGTGGTTCTGGCGCATGATTGATGCACTCCGACAACAATTTGGTCCGCCATGCTAATGTCTGGTGCTCACGTTTGCGCGCTCTGTCCTTGGAGGTGCTGCTTGATTAATATTAGGCGACTCGATCTGGCGTCATGCATCGTCTTTGACTGACGTCGGTCTCTGGACCATTATTGGAAATCTCGATCCTGCCTGGCCTTTGACTGAGCTGTTACAAAAAAAAAAAAAAAAAAAAAAAGATGGCCGGCCGACTCCGTCGGGGTTCCCATATGGGATTCTGTGAAGACATCGCTGGCTGGCCCGCCCTTCTGCAGCAAATTCCAGGGAGAGACAATCAGCTTCTCACTTTTTTTTTTTCGAGTTGCTCAAGAGACGGGCGGAGACTCACCAGGCACAAGGCACGACGTTCCACCAAGGTCTGCAGGGATAAGGTGCCTCGTTCTGGTGCGGACCATAACTCTTCTGTGCTGCGCCTGTGGCTGCATCTCAGCTCAACCGTGTCTTGTCTCCCTCAGCAAGCATTGGGTCATGTTTGGTTTGCTCTTAGTTGCATTTTCGGATTACCTGCGTACCGAGTAAGTAGGGAGAATCTGCACCGCCAGGTATTTCCATGTTTGTCTCCCCATGGCAAGTCTCGTTCCATCACGCTCTGTTACCACGGGACTAAGTGTCGGGTCCTCGAGGCACTCTGGGCAACGTTTGTTGGACCTTGGGCACTGTGATGCTTGAGGACAATCAATCAATCGTGGTGGAAGTCCAGCCAGGTTGCCGAGGGTGAATTTTGGTTTTGTCGGTCGGCCACAGAGACCAAAAAATTCAGCATCAGACATTCTGCACACTTACTTTTGGCTCAACATGGGCAGCCCTGCATTTCTCCAACAGACATCTTGAGGCAGGTGCAACCCCAACGTGTCCTTCTTTCCATGTCAGCTGTCATCCACGAAATTGCGGCTCGGCGGCCAATGTGCAGTATGCATCGAATCTCACCCTTTCAAATATCTTTCATTTCACAGTCCCCTGACAACTGTTTGGCCTCTCCCTATTCAGCTGGGCTCGATCTCTGTGGATGACAGACTGTGCATGCAGCACAGAAAGGGCCTTCATTGTTGGGGCAACGTTTGCAATCCTCTGCCCTAGGAAAGTTGTTTATTGTGTGGTTATCTATGCTTTTATAATTCTTTGAAAGCTGAGCGTGTGCTGACTTTTGACACCACACTTACTCTTCTCAGGGGCGGCATTCCATACAATTCGTCGCTCAGTCCTCGTCTTCAGACCACTTGGTTTGCCTCGAGCCGGCCTCCAAACTTGAGGTCAAACCAACCGTCAGACCAGACCACGGTTGAGCAATGGGAAATCCAATTCAGCACTTGTGCCTTGAGTCTTGCTTTACAGTCTATGGCAGAATATACTTGCCGCCAGGAAGTATACGCCAATATACTCTCACATATCATACTAGTAGTATAAAGCGTGGCAGCCAGAGATTTGACCTGGTTCAATACTTTTTGCCTCTCACTGTATCATGTGTATCTGCCAATTAGTGCTTTCTTATCCTTAAAAGTCAATTATGTCTTTATACTTTACATGAAAGAACAAGTTCCCCCACTATATTTCTGCCCTGGTGCACAACTCGACTCGAATCAATTTGCAGCATAAGACATTCAATGCAGACATCAAACCTGCACAGACGAGTCCTTGGATGTATCAAGTACCTGATGGGAAAATGTTACGGTGATTCACGTTTCTTCAGCAGCGGAAGGGGTCGCTCCTGATTTTCTGATCTATTCTGGCCAGAAAACCGCATCTTGCCGCCGCCTTGTGGGCAGTAACTTCTACGTAGTACTCCGTTGTACGGAGTACATGCGTACATACTGTACATGATCAATCCGTGGGGATTGCGGGTCCAATTCATTTTGGAAGGTGGGTTTTTGCTTAAACAGGAAGTAAGCACAAGCCACCATCCCTCGTCCCGATCTCGATTAGCGCCGAGCCCATTTGACGCTCATATCCTTCATACCTCTAAAAGACATCGACTCGACAATAGTATTTCTATACTAGATACAAACCCCGTGGTGATCGAGCAAGCGGAATTTCTGCCACACGCAGGGTCGACACTGTACTGGCCACAGACCAGCATGACACGGCCCATCTGCTGCAGTCATTTGCCAACCCCGTTTGTGCCAGTATCTACGGACTTTGCCCATTGGCAGAGACATTTTTTGAAAGCTCATGGCGATCTGGAACAGCAAAGCTCCCACGAGCGGCAGCTAGTCGCAACTCTGGACTACTGATGAGACATGCGCATAGCACATGTCTCAACTTGAGGGATGCGAAATGCAAGTCAACTCTCGGCGCTTGCGAATGTCAGGGCTTCTGGCATCATGTCCTAGATAGCAGACATCTGTTGGCTAGCCATCGGACTCGAGGTCGAGGCACCGAGGCCGCGGGGTTGCTGCATCTGAAATCTGGTCCCTGGATCGGCATGGTGCCAGATGATTTGACGAGCGGAATTTTCAGTTCTCGTCGATTAGTTCCTGCCTCGCAATGGCATTGATATTGTAATGCAGGTTTTTTGGTTACCAATAATGATGGCCGCATCAATCCGACCTTGGACACAACTTGGATAATTCCGGCCCACCTTCCCAGGTTGTCATCTCAGCAGGCATCAGCCGCCACATATCGGGCGACCGGACACTTCTTCGCATAAACCGCCCTAGCCAGGATGGTCTTCATACCCGGAGCGCCCAAGGAGCTGAATTTCGGGCTCGGCGTCGACTAGTAAATTGCCCGTCTGATTGAGGACCTGCGCCCGCCAGACTAGAACGGATTTTGGTGCTGCCCATTTTGTCCAACCACAGCTGAAAATTGAGGGGTGATGACGAAAAACCGCCATCACACAATATCAAGGACCAGGAACGAATTGTGGTGGCGCACGCCGTGTTGGCCATGGGGACAAAAAAAAAAAAATCTACCGAGTGGTGACTGGCAGCGAACTTGACCTGGCAATACACAGGGTCGCAAGTACGATTACTTCTCAATATCGCCAGAATTCATCCATAAGGCGCCTTCTAGTCGAGACCTACACGTCTTGCTACTATTGGTTGGCTGTCGGTTCTCGACTTTCTTTGTCTGTGGCAGTGGCTGCTGCAAGGGTAAAAGCGCACATGACGTTGAAGTTAAAACTGTCGAAACTTCTCCAGGGACAGGCTGAAAACAATGTATGTAATGTATGTACATACGTTAACGGTGAAAACTAGACTCCGTGGCCCGTGTGGTTGGACTCGATTCGATGAGGCTTGCCTAGACTGTTTTCATCCGTCGCATATGGAGGGGGGTTCACGAAGCATGATTGGCTCTCGTTTCACCATAATCCCAGCTTGGCACGAACTTAGAACAGAGAGCAAAATGACGGCCATGAAACACACCAAGCGCCACGATTTTCACTCATGAGCCGGCCCTCTGGAGGAAGGAGCTCCAGTCGTCAAATGGTCTGATGTTCAATGTCGCCACAGAGAGGTCTCAAGCCCAACGACTACACACTGCTCGTGTTTGATGGAGGCCAGTCTGGGTTCCCGCCTCGTGAATCGCGCATTTCCTACTTCCGATGAAATTCATATCAAGCTACCGAGTACGCGCGACCTAGGCCCATCAAGGCAGGCTCCCAAATCCCCAAATACTGCCTACTTTACGCAGTGGGCACATGCAGA